AAAAGTGCAAGATTTTCTTTACTTCTGACTCAAAGTCAAACTTAGCTAATTAAACCATTAGTTGAAAGAAACGCTATTAACATAGGATAATCATTAATTGCAAAAGACAAATTAAAGCATAACATTAATTCTAAAAACATCGCCACAAGATGAATTTCGAAGACATCAATTTGGAGAATAAAAGAAAGGAAGAATGTCCTTCTGCTATCTGCAGGCTTTATATGCATATTATTACACGATTACAAGGATTAGCACCTTTGTTAGCTCATGCTAATAAAGCACTCTCTGTTAGCGCACATTGGTAAAGCGTTTTTTAGCATACATTACTGTAAGGCTCTTAGAGTATATTGCTAAACAATGAGCACATATACAATTCTACGCGATGATAGCACCATACTCATACAGAATAGACTTTGGATGATTTTTAATCTTAATCATGATCCAACATGGAGGATGCAAATTAGTACATCACTACATAATCATTTATGATTCGTTTATACTTTCCTTTATCACGGAACTTCACATTTACTGAGAAAAGTATTATCACAAAGTATTATCAGTTTTGAAGCTATTCTTCACGACAGATATTAGACTTTTATTTCACAATACAATTAGGTCACATAAGTATCATATACGAGAAGCATTACTCAAATATTTCATTTACTGAAATATGTCCCAAAGTTGATCGGAGCCAATGAAGCCAAGTGAAGCCAAGTATATCAACGATTTCAGGTAATAATCTTTTGTGAGATTCTAGAATTTCACCTTGTCTCGCTTATATTAACAGTAGTAGTAGTAGTGATAGTAGTAGTGGTAGTAATATAGCATTCGTGGTGTCACCGAGTTTCAGGTATCCTAATCGGAATATCTCGTATGGTTATTCTCTTGCATAGCGATAATACGTTTTTGCAATGAATAATCAATTGCCATCGGCAGTTGTACCTCCCGAATATGATGAAGAGTTGAATCATTTGGTTGGACATTATTATTGTTATTTATTATTATTATCATCGTTGTCATTGCTGTTTTTTTTTATTAATCGTTTTGTTAAGAGCAACTAAAATTGGCATAACGAAATGATAGCTAATAGTTCTGCGTTAATCAGAAAGTCTGCGGAGTGACCAGAGTGTCTCACTGATGAAATAAGCAGATTGTTACCCTCATCGAATGGCCAAAATATCTCGGTGGTAACAACGTGGCTGAATTTAAATACATTCCTTTGCTTATTTTTTTTCTTTTTTTGTATCTTATTAGCTTTCTAATGTGTTGTCAGTTATTATGAGGGGCTGTCTAGCTTAGAATTAACTTAACCTATATTTGCTAACATTTATCTTTCCAATTTCATTGATTTTGTGAGATTAATCCAATTTTTCCCATTAATTTACTGGAACATTGTCTGTTTCAGTTTTTCGTCAAAGACATTCCTGTACGAAATGGCAATGGTACAAAGAAATCTGATTTGCGTAAAAGTTTTTATAACATCTATAAAGCTTTCGTTGAAAATCGGCAGAATTTGATCAATGAACTGAGGAATATCGCAGATAAGGTAAGATTTATCAATTTGCTTTAATAGTGAAGTTGGAATAATTTGAAGTTTGTAATCTTATTTGATATTTCAGTTCGCTGTAGTGTGCATGATATAGTGGTATTATGTTGCCTTGAAAAAAGAGACTATTCAGTAATAAGTTTACTGTCATATTATCTCATAGAATCCGTATGAAATCCCTGAAGTTAATAATAATGTTAGCACTGCATGAAGCGCTAAGCTAGGAAAAGTCACGTTGAGGAAAACGAGCCTTAGTATTAGTGATTCAAAAATTTACTTTGTGAATCCAAGTTGCTGAAATAATGTCTTTACTTGCTTACCAGTTAATCACGTAAAGATTAAAACATAAGCTTAGTTTAGTGGTCGCCTCGGCTTATCCTGCTTTTTTCAGTAATTCCCAGTTAAAACTATTTTTTTACAGTCGATAAATGTCAAAAAAAGTTGTACCATTTCCACAATCACTGGAAGTTCAGTCGGTATTGCTGGTGGTACGGCAGCAATTGCTGGAACTGTTGTGTATCCACCGTTACTTGTCGGAGGTTTCTTTTTTTTTGCGTTTTCAGTTCTATTAAATCGTGATAGGATGAAATTCATGTTGGAGTAGTAAGTAGGTCGCAGCTTTGAAATTAGCAATGGTAGACATGTGAACTAGCTTTAGAGTTTTTCTGTCTAGGATTGATTGTTGCTGGACTTGCTACGGCTTCAAATTTGGGGACGCAATTGACCGAGTTCATACTTTTTCGAAATATGGTCAAAAAAGTGGAGACACTATCAAAATACGATATCGAATTAATGCACGATATTGAAGGCATTTATCAAGATGCACTGAATTCAGACTTGGTCAATTGGTTGCAATAAACATTCAGGAAATATGCCAGATGTGGCTGAGATTTTTGAAGATTTCCACTTTCAAATTTATGCAAATCATGCCTTGTTTGTAATAATTCTTTGCTTTTGTCGATAAATAGGGGAATTTCTTCCATTACTAGGCGAGTTTTCCCATTTTTGTAGAAATATTCGTATGATGCGTAACATTTCAAATCATGCCATATCAGAAAAAATTTTTCAGTCGTACTACTCCTCCATTATCCTCATTATATCAATTTTGTCATTATATTACTTCATTTTTATTTCTCTTCTTTTTTAGTTTGAAGCAGATGAACGATCTGATGGAACTTTGCAGACCATGGATACCGCAACAAATGACCTCCCATCACTGGGACTTCAAATTGGCGCCGGTGGTGCTAAGGGTGCTACCGCTTTAGGTTTACGAAGTGTTGGAATTCAAGTGGTAACTTGATTTTCTTGCATGCTTAGTCAACATTTATGAGTTCTCCATGTTCAAGCTTAAAAATTCTTCACATTTATCAGGTACTGGTTTAGAGAAAAGTGAAATAATAAGTCGTTTGATATGTTAAACAACAAGCAATACTTCGACCCATGCAGTAGCTCAAACTTCTTGGAAATACTCTTAAAAATAGTTGAGAGAAATTACAGACTCAGATTGGGAGTACACTGATGCGAGGCATTGCACGTGGTGCTATTGGAATTGGTGTTATTATCGACGGTGTGACGATATTTCTTTCAGCACGTGACATAGCGACAGGTTGCTCAACGAAATTTAGTGATTGCCTAAATAATCTTGCAGATTTCAAAGAAAAAGAATTAGGTCAAATTATGACTAGGATTGATTTAAGCAATTTACTTATGGAAGGATAAATTATTTGGGATATTATTGTGGACGTTCAATTTCATTATGGATATTTGTGCTTATGTATTTGTATTGGATTTATTGCTGCTATAATTACTGCTTTCCTGAGTTTTGCTTTTCACAAACCCGATAAATCTTAGTTACAATTATTTATCACACCTATTGTTTAGGAAAACACGAAAGAAGCATGAAAGAAATTTTTTTTCTGAATTTCGAATTAAGATTGTAACTCTGTTAGTTGATCTTTTTAAAAATAAGATAAATATGAGGGGAAATAAATGTGTGGTATACATAGCAAAAAAGATCAGAGTGAAATAAATTAGTGCTGTGGTAATAAATAACTGTCCCACACACTCGAAACATTAGCTTATCCATTTTGGAAATGAAATTTAAAAAAAAAAAGGAAAAAATCAAATTGATAAGTGATTATATAAGAACCTTACGGCACTAAACTGCATTGATGTAGTGAAACTGTTTGGCTCAGTAAGCAAGGAATATTAGCACTAAGAGCGAATACTTCTGAAATTGTTATGATGAAGAAATCCCCAGTTTGTATTGTTAAGTTTTGAAGTGCATCTTCAGAAATTGAATGGATCAATAAATTCATAGGTCGGTGAGAGGTACAAAAGTAATTGCTAATTGCTTGCTCATCGTAAGTGTAAGTTCATTGCTTCCTTTTTTTCGCAACAAATTACCAATTACTTATCTAAGGAAATCAGATCATTACCGCACTATGTTTGCAGAAGAATAATTTGAAAAAAGACCTATGCCTTGTGGTAGGTATGGTAACACTGGAAGCATAAAAGTAGAGATGTCGCGGTGTCGTAAAATGTCGCAAGCTACAGATAGTACAGAACCTATCTACCGAAACACCTGTCCACCCATATTAATTAACAACAGCTATCCCTCGACCTCTCCTCCCACGAAAAACACTACGCAGTAGCAGGGTTCGGATTCAAGATGCGACATAAATGTCTATTTCGTACTTTTACTTTGTTTTTGTTGGTAGTTGTGATTTGTTGAAATAAAGATTTCAAATGTTGAATTATAACTAAAATCTAGGATAGTTTAAATTACATACGTGAAATTGCGTGATGAAATCTTGAGGATAATTTTTCGAAGGAATTCAACAATATAGTTCATATATTTACAAGAAATTAGATTAATCATTAAGTAAACGTACTTGAATTTTATAGCAACTTCTCTCTCCTACATTGTTAATAATAATGAAATGTTTGAGTTAATGGTCGAATAATTGTGAGTAAATGGAACTGAATCTAAAATTCAATTAATTTTAATTAAATTTTATTGATTTTAAAATACTACGAAACTATAATAAATAGGGTATGGATACAAGTGAGATATGAATTGGGTTAAAATTCACTCATTTCAGAATGTTGAAGCGGAAAGTGGAGACATCAATGGATGCGACAAATTCACATGCCGATGATGGAAATGAAGGCACTTCGGGGTTAAAAAAGTGCAAAGGTAAGTGTTATGAGTAACTAACAAATTTCAGTAGGAATTCAATTCTACAGATGTTATTACAAATACTTAGTCGTTATTATTTGGAAGAGTAAGTGTAAATGCAGAAGACATATATTGTTATCATTGAAAGAGTGAAATGTAGATACAGAAGAGTTATGTTTTTATCATTGCTATCATTATTACTATTTTTCGTATTATTATTATTATTATTATTATTATTATTATTATTATTATTATTATTATTATTATTATTATTATTATTATTATTATTATTATTATTATTATTATTATTATTATTATTATTATTATTATTATTATTATTATTATTATTATT